TTTCACCACACTCACAAATTATCACTGTTTTTGCAGAGGTGCTCAGAACACAACAGTTTAGAAGCATACACATATAAAGATACACAACATATCCCTCCAAACTGCCAATATCCCAAACCCCTCCTTTAAAGTGCAGGCATTGTACTTCCCATTTCCAGGACTCAAGTCCGACTATATGAAAATAACCGGTTTCCCTGAATCCCTTCACTAAATATTACCCTGCTCACACTCCAACAGATCGTCAGGTCCCAAGTACCATTCGTCTCCATTCACTCCTATCTAACACGCTCACGAAACACTTGCTGGAAGTCCAAGCCCCTTGCCCACAAAACATCCTTTACCCCCTCTCTCCAACCCTTTCGAGGACGACCCCTACCCCGCCTTTCCTTCCCCTATAGATTTATATGCTTTCCATGTCATTCTACTTTGATCCATTCTCTCTAAATGACCAACCACCTCAACAACCCCTCTTCTGCCCTCTGACTAATACTTTTATTAACTCCACACATCTCCTAATTTCCACACTCCGAATTTTCTGCATAATATTTACACCACACATTGCCCTTAAACAGGACATCTCCACTGCCTCCAACCGTCTCCTCGCTGCTGCATTTACCACCCAAGCTTCACACCCATATAAGAGTGTTGGTACTACTATACTTTCATACATTCCCTTCTTTGCCTCCATAGATAACGTTTTTTGACTCCACATATACCTCAACGCACCACTCACCTTTTTTCCTCACAATTCTATGATTAACCTCATCCTTCATAAATCCATCCGCCGACACGTCAACTCCCAAGTATCTGAAAACATTCACTTCTTCCATACTCCTCCTCCCCAATTTGATATCCAATTTTCTTTATCTAAATCATTTGACACCCTCATCACCTTACTCTTTTCTATGTTCACTTTCAACTTTCTACCTTTACACACATTCCCAAACTCATCCACTAACCTTTGCAATTTTTCTTTAGAATCTCCCATAAGCACAGTATCATCAGCAAAAAGTAAGTGTGTCAATTCCCATTTTGAATTTGATTCCCCAAAATTTAATCCCACCCCTCTCCCGAACACCCTAGCATTTACTTCCCTTACAACCCCATCTATAAATATATTAAACAACCATGGTGACATTACACATCCCTGTCTAAGACCTACTTTTACCGGGAAGTAGTCTCCCTCTCTTCTACACACCCTAACCTGAGCCTCACTATCCTCATAAAAACTCTTTACAGCATTTAATAACTTACCACCTATTCCATATACTTGCAACATCTGCCACATTGCTCCTCTATCCACTCTATCATATGCCTTTTCTAAATCCATAAATGCAATAAAAACTTCCCTACCTTTATCTAAATACTGTTCACATATATGCTTCAATGTAAACACTTGATCTACACATCCCCTACCCACTCTGAAACCTCCTTGCTCATCCGCAATCCTACATTCTGTCTTTCCTCTAATTCTTTCAATTATAACCCTACCGTACACTTTTCCTGGTATACTCAGTAAGCTTATTCCTCTATAATTTTTACAGTCTCTTTTGTCCCCTTTCCCTTTATATAAAGGGACTATACATGCTCTCCGCCAATCTCTAGGTACCTTCCCCTCTTTCATACATTTATTAAACAAAAGTACCAACCACTCCAACACTATATCCCCCCCTGCTTTTAACATTTCTGTCATGATCCCATCAGTTCCAGCTGCTTTACCCCCTTTCATTTTACGTAATGCCTCACGTACCTCCCCCACACTTACATTCTGCTCTTCTTCACTCCTAAAAGATGGTATACCTCCCTGACCAGTGCATGAAATTACTGCCTCTTTTTCTTCCTTAACATTTAAAAGTTCCTCAAAATATTCTCGCCATCTACCCAATACCTCCATCTCCCCATCTACTAACTCCCCTACTATGTTTTTAACTGACAAATCCATATTTTCCCTAGGCTTTCTTAACTTGTTTAACTCACTCCAAAATTTTTTCTTATTTTCATTAAAAATTTCTTGACAGTGCCTCTCCCACTCTATCATCTGCTCTCCTTTTGCACTCTCTCACCACTCTCTTTACCTTTCTTTTACTCTCCATATACTCTGCTCTTCTTATAACACTTCTGCTTTGTAAAAACCTCTCATAAGCTACCTTTTTCTCTTTTATCACACCCTTTGCTTCATCATTCCACCAATCACTCCTCTTTCCTCCTGCTCCCACCCTCCTATAACCACAAACTTCTGCCCACATTCTAATACTGCATTTTTAAAACTATTCCAACCCTCTTCAACCCCCCCCCATATATATATATATATATATATATATATATATATATATATATATATATATATATATATATATATATATATATATATATATATAATATATAGGGAAGTACCACCTCTATAGCTGGAATGGGGACCCTCATCCTCAGAGAAGATAATAAACGTACCTCAGAGAAAACTCAAGGTTCTCCCCGAGCTGTTTGAATATTTTCTTCTCCTACCACCCCCTATATATGTTTTATTCTATGTGAACAATTTATTAATAAACAAAATACATTTACAGAAAAAAAACATAAACATGAATACAATGGCACAATGTATCAAAGATGATGAATTTCCTCCAGCTCCTCCGAGGCTGGACGTGAGCCAAGTATGCAGCAAGCATTTCCCTCTGGATGGCGACGCTGAGGCGCTGGAACATGAAAGTGGCTGCCCTTGGGTCCCTGGTGGTGTCGATGAGTCTGGAACCCAATTCTTTAAGGAAACGTGTGGCATTTTTTCCCCATGATCCCAAGGTCTCTGATCCCACTGGGACAAATTGATACTGTTGGCTAATGTCCCTGTACTTGCTGATCTTGTACTCCTCCCTGTGGTCAGCAGCTCCTCCTGTCGCCCCACACTGTGATGGATATAGGTGTCAGCCAGTGTGGACACACGGGTATAGTCCCATGCTAAGAGCTTGCCATTCTTCCAAGGATAGATGGTGATCCGTCGGGGCGGTTTGCGGGGTTGTGGGTATTGTTTGCTGCAAGTGATCGTGGCTCCCTCTCGGCAGGGCATCCAGCTGTAGCAAGGGTTCTCTTAATAAAGTCGTTGACCTCATTGTGTCTTGCATGCCAGCCCTTGGTTTTGGAACAGTTAAGACCATGTAGACCGTATTGGTCTGCTTGCACTTCGCCGCAAATACACATATATCTGTGTGAATTGGGCAGCAAGGCGCAGAGCCACTGCAATACGGAGGGTCTTAGGGTCGAGTCGCGTTCCCATTGCCGATATGGAACTGTTTGGAGGAAGTCCCCGGAGTGATGTGCACTCACAGCCTGGAGACGGGCAATCTCCCTATCTGATGTTGCAGCCCTGAGCATGTTGGGAAGCACCTTTTCAGCAATTGGGCTATCCCAGCTTGACTGTTTGTGAGCCAGTGCTGCACTAGGGTTTGGTGCTGGAGCAGCAAGAGTCTCCCATTCGGTGATGGCACTGACATAGCTGGGGTCTTCTATTCCTGCTGAGTCACTGAGGGTGTCAGGAAGAATTTGTCTTATCAACTCGTTTGATGCAATGGAAGAGGATAGGAAAGCTGTAGAGCAATCTGGGAGGATCTGCGTACTCCTAGCCCTCCAAGCCTGACCGGAAGTGAGGCTTGCAACCACTGTCCATCGTCAAGGGAAAGATTCAATACACTCTCTAGCATGGCCTTCAGGAGAGAGTCATATTCCTTGAGTTTTGGACTGCTGAAGGCTGGGGAGCATCTCAGAAAATAGGTAAGTTTTAGGGGTTGACAGGCACCTGGTGAGTAGGTAGAAGGCATCGTGTGTGTCAATGTCTTTCATCCTGCTTTCCATCGTCCGGAGGTCTGAGACTTTTTTTCCTAGGACCAGATCGATGGCATTGGACCCAAGAGGAGCACCGAGGAGAGTGCTATTGGCTGGATCAATGGCTCGTGCTCCTGGTAAAACGGTACTAATATTCTGGATCAGCTGTTGATTGGTAGAAACTATTTCACATTTGGTGGGGTTTAAAGAAAGGCCCAGGCTTTCTCCCATGTCTTTAATTTTACTGATGTCCTCCAGGAGAGATTCTGGTGTGCCAGCCAGGGTACCGTCGTCCAGGAACCAGATATTGAGCTCGCTGGAGAGTGCCTCCGTGACTTCCTTGATGACCAAACAAAATAGAAAGGGGGGCGAGAGGGTCCCCCTGTTGCACGCCCTCACACGAGTCAATTTCATGGTCCCCAAACAATAGTTTGGAAGTCACACTATAACACGATTCTATGAAGGGATAAAGGGAAGGGAAGTTTCTATAAACTGCTTGGAGAGCAGCATCCCTTCTGACTGAGTTGAAAGCATTGGCAAAGTCCAATTTGACCAAGGCTTTTTCATAGGACATGTTTTTGATATATACTCGTGCTGCGTGGGCAGCTGCTTCGCAGCCCTGTTGAATGCCGAAACCGAGCTGAGTTGGTTTCAGCATTGCAGCAGCCTCTTGACTCACCCTTCTTACTGCAGCCTTGGCGACTAGGCGCCGAAGGGTGTTACCCACTGCAATGGGCCTGATTCCGCCATCCTTTTTCCGGAGGGCACACAATGAGGCACCAAAGAAAAAGGGTCTGATGGCCTCTGGGACACCGCCAGCCAGGCACAGGTTGGAAAATTTGGTGAGTTCAGACAGCAGCCTCTCTGAAACCTCACCAAGTGCTGGATTGAGTATTTGTTTTAAGTGTTGAGGCCTTAAACCGGTGAAACCTCCTGCTGAACCCTGTGGAAATGACATAGCAGCTTTATACACATCAGCATCCTGTAAGGTTAGATGTTCTTCGCCTGCTGCAATGTCAGGGAGGTCAATATATATATATATATATATATATATATATATATATATATATAATATATAATATATATATATATATATATATATATATATATATATGTATATATATATATATATATATATATATATACATATATATGCAATAATTTTCTTAACAGTTGTGTATTTTTCGTAATGAACTTTGTTATATCTGATAATGCCTAGTTTGAAATTTATTTATTTTGCAGAGTATTCAGGCTTATACATACATAAAATGATGTTTTTTCATATACACATCTACATAAGGTATAATGTATTAAAAATCAAATACGTCTTATAAATGCAAAAAAAAAGTACATAGTAATTTTATAAAAAAAAAATATCGAGTAAAAAATAACACTTCAAGTTTGAAAATGTCGTAGTTGTTGAATCAGCGTTTCTGACAGCAGTTGGTCAGCGTCTCTACAGTGGAGTCAGCGCCTCTCCGTGACGCTGAACTTGAGTGGTGTAGCAGAGGAAAACACCAGGCGACACACAACTTCAATGTCTTCATACTTGTAATCAATTGTGAAGCGCTGCATCGCCTGTACACAAATAATTATTAGAATTTACACACACACACACAACACACACACACCACACACACACACAACACACACACACACACACACACACACACAGTAGCGATCAGTGAAGAGGCGGGGCCAGGAGCTGAGTCTCGACCCCTGCAACCACAATTAGGTGAGTACACACACACGCACACACATGTATTATATATAATATATATATATATATATATATATAATAAATATATATAATATATATATATATATATATATATATATATATATATATATATATATATATATATATAAATCTTCTGTGCCATATTATGTAATAAAATATTCCTATTGGTAAAAAAAATAGTTTAAAAGATGGGTGGTAGGGGAAGTGGAATATTCAAATGGCTTCAGGAAGAAATCCAAATATTCTTCCTTGAAGCCTTTTTATCCACTTCTCCAAGGCTATGGGTCCCACAATTTACACCAGAGGTGGACCCCAAATATATATATATATATATATATATATATATAATATATATATATATATATATATATATATATATATATATATATATATATATATATATGAAAAATCGCAAACAAGCGATATAAGATGCAAAACAAGGGGAGTTGAATGATAGCTCTAGGTATTTCGTGTTGCAATCAACACATCAGGAATTTGCAATGTTGCAGAAATTAGTAGGAAGTCCAGGTAGATCCGTTCAAGGGAACGACTAGCTAAAATGAGATGGCATCAAACCGGCCAGTGCCAGGTGCCAAAAAGATGAAGGCATGATAATAAAACAGTAACAGAAGCATATAGAAGCCCATCAACATTAAACATTAAGTAATGATCTAGCAACCACAACATTGGGGAAATGACAACTATCACCAACATTCCGTCAAATGTCATATCGTATCATTATAAAAAACTTTAATATTCTGATCTCATAGATATCTGGCCCCTATCAGCAGGGAAAATTCCAATGCAGAGAAAATGGGGAAGCAGCAAAAAAAGAAAAACTCTCCTATTTCCAGAGACTGGCCCAATTCACCCTAGGTGAATGCTGTTTTATACATAAGGTTGAGTGGGAGCAGCAAATGATACACTCTCAGTAGTAGTAACCAGTTACCAGTCTCAGTAGTAGTAACCAAGTACCAGTAACCTGTCCGTTGACTCAACGACCAACCGTCTTGAGTCACGGTCTGTGCTGAGCTGACATTATTTCAAAAGACCCACTACGGGGTACTGGCCAGCCGGCTAGCCAGTTTTACGAGTGTAACCAAGGAGACAGGTAACGGCTGCGGGTTCTCTCCACATATCTACGATTATACGTAATAACAGCCTACGTGAGTATTTCTACCCTAATCCACGTATCGAACTCCCACATGATAAATGGTGTACAGCGGTGTGGAGCGTGGATTTACGTTTTTAAGGGTAATTCAAGGCGTTAGAAGGCTGTTTGTGTGAGTAGCACCAGGGTCAAAGGTGAATCGTCACCCACCAGCCACTACCCGCCCGCACCACCTCGAGCCACCAGCTCTACCCTCGCGCACCACCTCGAGCCAGCAGCCTACTCCCCTCAAACCTACTGCCTGCAAGCCTGTTGCAGCCGTTTCAAGCTTCCTGGCTTAGTTCGTGTGCTAATTGCTTCAATCTCCGAGGGGTTGACCCGGATTTGCAATTAAGCCAGTCAGTAAGCCAGACTGTGGAAGTGAACGCCAGTCAGCCTATCATCCAGCCTGTCTCCTGTCATCCAACTGCTCCTCCGTGCTTTGTGCATCGTTACACGTCTTCCAGTCATCCATTCTCGTGGGGTAAGCCAGTCAGCCAACCCAGCTTCTAACCCAGCTGAGAGAGAGAAGTAAGTCACGCAGTAAGAAGTAAGCCAAGCTCCTCTGAGGTATTGTTTATATCGCTTTGTGCTCCCTGTTGGATGCTAAGAGTGGTTTTTACCATTCCTGTGGCATAGAGTGGGTTTTTCAAGCCATCTTCGTGGGTGAGTGGGGTGCGCGGCAGACCCCCAGCGTCCCCCCCACCACTCTCTCCCACCACCCGGGGTGCGCGGCAGTACCCCAGCGAGAGTCACACCCACCATCAAACCGCCACCAGCCATCCACTCATCTACCTGTGGTTGTTTGCACCCTTGTACCGGGTCCTAGTACTGTTTTGGCTCACATAATTGGTCAAGAGATTGTAGCTGGTGCCAACGAGATAAAGCCAGTTATGTGAGTTCGCCTAGAAAGCACATCTCTTCACGACAACAGTGAATGTCGGAGGCGTCATCACCGCGCGGGACACCATACACCCGCCCCCACCAGTACTCACCGTCCGTCTCCTACTCCCGACTTCAGTGATAATTTTCTTGAGATATTTTTCTTGCATTTAAAGACATTTGCGTGTGTGAGACATTTATAGTAAATTGTTTGTGTACTCTAAACCTTGTGTTTTCAGTTTTTCTTTGACTCGTTAATTTTTAAAATATTTTTTCAGTGTTTTTATTTATCTTATATTTTTTTATTCATGTGTTTTTTTCTTATGGCTACTCCTGTCTCTAGAAGTATATTGTGTAGTGTACCAGTCAGTCACCCTGTGTGAAGTGATTCATTTTTTTTTATTGTATTCTTTCAGCATACCAAATTATCAATTTATTTCTATGTGTGTCTTTTTTTTCGTTATGCCAACAGTGTCTCATTCCTCTATTTTTTCGCCAGACTGTGTACCATTATTTTTGCCAGCAAATTTTTGTCGATATCAGTCACAGCAAGATTTGTTGTATCAGTCACAGCAGGAATTTGTTGTAAGAATAAACTAATACTGTTGGGTGCTCCGTCACTGTAAGTGTTATATTCCCTGTTTTGTTCCTGTGTTTTATTTTTAAATTCTTGAACAAATTCACTCTTGATGCAATTTCAATTACTTTTAACGTAAAGTGTTTTCTTACTCTGTTTGAGTAAATGTTTTGTCTAATTTACATTTAAGAGTTAAAGTGTTCAATCAGTTTATTTTTTTGGTCTTCATATTTAATTCATTATTTTACCTGAGTTTTCCAGTGAACTTTATTACTGCAGTGATTGTTTTCTACACCTTATTTTGTTGCACTTGTTCTGAAGTGAATTATTTTGTTGAACTGTTCTGCAGTGAATTATTTCTTTTATTGCTATTTTTATGATTTATATTTATTTTGTCTATGCATTCTTAGAAAATACTTAATTTCCCAGTTAACAATTTAATAATTTTATTTTACACTTCACATTGATTTAAAAAATTTAATTAATTTTTTTTATTAGCAAGAGTAAAGACAGCTCATTTTGAATTTAATTCAGTCTCAGTAATATTTTTACTTGTATATTTCATGTAATTTTTTTTCTTGGTCAATAGTTCTTTAAATTGAGTTTTCCTTCCTCTTGCAAGTGTATTTAGACATTATTCTGCGAATTAGTTGTTATCTTTTCATTTCAATTCTAGAATTTTATATCATTTTATTGTTCATTATTTTGCTTTATTTGTTCTCGTGTTACTTTGCCTTATGTCTCACATACCGTCAAGTGATACTTTAGTGAATGTCGACACTCAGACCTCTCAGGCTACTACTGCTGGTCCTGTCATCAGTCCTCACAGTTCCTTACCGACTGACAGACCGACTCAGACACCGAGATATATAGTTATACTCGTGATTCCTGATGCGTTACCTTTATTCAATGGCCATGTACATTAGTCTTGAAGCTTGGTTTGCAGCCATTCGTTCTCGTGCTAGTGCCCTAGGTGAAGGTCCTCCTTCAGAGGAAAGCCCTTATCAGAATTGCTAAAGAAGCTCTTTATCGATCTCCTGCTGCTGTTCACGTTGTTGATTCCTTGATATGCGAGACTTCAGAATCTTACTAAGTGGTCACAATATGAGGAACTGATTCGTTCTTTCCTTGTCCCAGTTAAAACAGCTGTCCATATGTTGTTCTTAGGAACTAGTGAATGCTACACCATGAGTACTGAATCGTTGAGTGCATTTGCTGTTAGATTAGACAAACTTTTATCACATTTATCAATGCTGTCAATCATCATCTTTTCTCCCTGACGAGGCTAAACCATTTACAGAATCAATTGCTAAAATAGCAGCTTTTGGAGCAATTAAAAGAACTAATGCCGCCTGCTTCTGTGTGTGCTTATGAGGCTGATCCTCCAACTGTAACGATGGAACCACTTACCAGCCTTAAATCATGTACGTTCTTGTGCCCCCAGGGTACTTTCCCTTGTATTAAAGTAATGTTACACATATGCTCAGTCTGCACCACCTCTTGTTTGCGCCACAGACAAATCGTAGTCGTCAACCATCTCAAGATCACCAAGAACCAGTGTACTGATCGTTATAACCTCATAGTTATTCATAGTACATTCAGTAACCATAGTCGGCGAATTGTTACAACTGTGGTTTCCGTGGCCATATTGCAATTAATTGTCCTGATAGTTACCCTAAGAGACGTCGTACTGATGATGAGTACTCACTTCCCTACTGTACTTATCATAGAATACATGGACATGACACATCTGAGTGTAATGCTCTCTATAACCTTCAGTACTCTAGGTCTTTCAGTGGTCGTTCCAACCGCAGAACCCGTAGAGGAAACAGATCTCGTGGTTTTCAAAATAACCAGAACCAGGCTTATTCTTTCAATTCTCAAAATAACCAGAACCAGGCTCATTCATTCACTTCTCAAACTAACCAGAACCAGGCTCGTTCTTCCAATTCGGGGGAATTCGAGCGCCCCAGTCAAACCGCCCCATGGTGACAGTAGGTGATTAATGAGTACACCATCCCCGTTCACAACTCCTTTGAAGCCTTAAGCAGTCTCGAGCATGCCAACCCTGCTGATGATGTTGCTTCACATGTCTCTGACACAGATGATTTTGGGGATGGGGTAGAACAAGTCTTTTCTGATGATAATCCACCTTTTTGTTTGCACATAACTTCCAATGCAACCATAGGCCCTATAGTGCAAGCATCTGTTTATAATGCGCCCGTTCA